AATGCCAAATTCCGAGAGACTACGTTTTGGCCTAGGTTATATGCCAAGAAGGTCCCTTCCCATTAAGCTAAAGAAGACTACTGTAATTACATCTTTGATTTCCTATCATTGTATGTGCCCAAATTCCAGATACCTGTGGTCTCTTAGAAGTAAGACATTTGTATCTCAAGTTACAGTATATCCAGGTCCTTAAAATTTAGCAAGAAAATATGCTAGGTTTGAATAGGGAAAATATGGGTGTTTTTCTTCCCTCATGTTTCCTGATCCTTTTTCAAAATATATGTAAAGTCTCTTTGCCAGGAAGTACAGCATAAGGGTAAAAGGCCTAGCCATAGCCTATCCTGCTGTTCACTAGCCACAAGCTTGGATGATCTCCTGAACTTCTCTGAGCCTCAGTTTCCTCAATTTTAAGATGGGATAATATGTCTGCACCATAACTCTGCAGGCAGGGAATAGCAAGTTATCATCAGAGGACACCCAAGGTTCCCAGAGTCCTGCATAACAGTTAGCTGTCCTTAGGCCCATAGCAATGCATTTCATACATTTTATCTTTCTAAGTGTGGTCCCTCAATATAGTTTTCTCTTGTGATAGAAGTCCCTCTGGCCCTGTCCATAGGCACAACAGCCGCTGGCATAGGGCGGGGCCATTCTGCAAGGTTCTGTTGTGATAAAAGAGCTACACAGGCCTCAGCCACAGCCTCAGCCTCACCCATTTGTTTCCACAGCAAATCCAAACTTGTTGCAGCAGAGCAGCTGGATTCCAGTCAGTGTGTACTCCGCATTCCATTTTGAAATGCAGTCCTGCGATAGTCCGGATTCTGTCAGGCTAATCCTTTGCTGTTCTTATTGTTAGGAGAGAATCTTGTCACAAGTTCGTTCATTCTTTCTTTCTTTCTTCTTTCTTTTTTTGGAGACAAAATCTCACTTTATCACCCTCGGTAGAGTGCCGTGGCATCACAGCTTACGGCAACCTCCCAACTGCTGGGCTTAAGTGATTCTCTTGCCTCAGCCTCCCAAGTAGCTGGGACTACAGGTGCCTGCCAGTATGCCCAGCTATTTTTTTGTTGCAGTTTGGCCTGGGGGCCGGGTTTGAACCTGCCACCCTCGGTATATGGGGCTGGCGCCCTACCCACTGAGCCATAGGCGCCGCCCTTTTCACAGTTCTTTTTTTTTTTTTTTTTTTTTGAGGTTTTTGGCTAGGGCTGGGTTTGAACCCACCACCTCTAGCATATGGGGCCAGCGCCCTACTCTTTGAGCCAAAGGCACAACCCCACAAGTTCTTAAAGCTATTTCAAGAGTAAATCCAGTGTCACAACAGGTTTCTTTAATTGTCCAGGCCATTATTATAAATATGCACAGTTGCAGTGCAACAAACATGTTTCAAAACTATTTTCCAATTTAGGACATCCCAGTTTATTTAAAACCAAGAGTCCTACTCTTTCATTTTTCTACTTTGTTGCATCATAATAGTTTGGAAGAGGCAATAGGCTTCTTAATTCTTTTTTTTTTTTTTCTTTGTAAGGCAAGCATGAAATGAAGTTTATTGCAGAAGAGAAAGATAGGTTTACAGAATAAGAAGGCTTCTTATTTCTTGTCACGGCAAATCTCTTGGGCCTCTCATTCAGCCCACCATACAGATGCTGTTTGCAATAACACAACCAGGGTTCCCTTTGTTGCAGTAATCTCCCAGGCCTTGGTTGCAATTTAATATCCATGTACTCCTTACAATAACATCATCAACCAACTCACAGCTGCCCCTAACAACCAAGCCAAGCGCTGCAGAGGGTCAGTTACACAGGCAGGCATAAGCCTGGTTCCCTTGGGATTTGGGTATACTTAGTGTTTTGCAGACTTCAACATGCAAAAAAATCACCTGGGAATCTTCTTAAAAGGTAGATTCTTTTTTTTTTAGACAGAGTCTCATTTTGTCACCTGCAGTAGAGTGCAGTCGTGTCATAGCTCATAGCAACCTCAAACTCTTGGCCTTATGTAATTCTCTTGTCTCAGCCTCCCAAGTAGCTGGGACTATAGGCACCTGCCACAATGCCCGGTTATTTCTTTTTTTGTTTGTTTTTTTGTTTTTAAATTTATTTCGCAGTTTTTGGCCGGGGTTGGGTTTGAACCCGCCACCTCTGGTATATGGGGCCGGTGCCCTACTCCTTTGAGCCACAGGCACCACCCCCGGCTATTTTTTTTTAGAGACAGGGTCTCATTCTTGCTTTGGCTGGTCTCGTACCTATAAGCTCAGGCAATCCACCCACCTTGGCCTCTCGGAGTGCTAGGCTTACAGGAGTGAACCACCACGTCTGGCCTATAAATGGTAGATTTTTAATTCAGTAGGTTTGGAGTGTGTGCATTTCCAACAGGCTCTACGTGCTGCAGCTGCTGCTAAGAACCACCATTTGAGTAGCAAGAGTCTAAAATAACACAAGTCACACCTCCCTCCCCACCCCCAATATGTCGGTCCAACTTGGAACCATTCTGTTAATGCTGGTGTGTTTCTACATTTGTGTAGGGAAGGAGGTCAGGATAGAAGCTGAGGGACTTGGGGACCCAAAGCAGATAAAGCTTGTGGGTGCAGATCTGGCTGCAGGGCCCTGAAGTGAATCTCTGGAGGAGTGAGGCCGGGTAAGACAGTGGTGAACTTATTTGTATCCCTATCAGGAAGGAGGAGTTGACAGCAACAGGAGAGATAGACATTAGAGTAGTGGAGGAAGGGACAGTGTGCTCTAGTGGAAGGGTCTTGATTTTGAACTCTGCTGCCCATTCACTGGCTTTAGGGCTTTGAGCAAGTGACTTAACTAAAATTTCTAAGGAACATTTTCTTTTTTTTTTTTTTTTTTTGAGACAGAGCCTCAAGCTGTCCCCCTGGGTAGAGTGCCGTGGCATTACAGCTCACAGCAACCTCCAACTCCTGGGCTCAAGCGAGTCTCTTGCCTCCGCCTCCCAAGTAGCTGGGACCACAGGCGCCCGCCACAACACCCGGCTATTTTTTGGTTGCAGCCGTCACTGTTGTTTGGCAGGTCCGGGCTGGGGATTCGAACTGCCACCTTAGGTGTACATGGCTGGCGCCTTAGCCGGTTGAGCTATAGGAGCCGAGCCTAAGGAACATTTTCTAATACTCTAAAAAAACTTAAGAATACAAAACCTTACCTGCTTATTAAGGTTCAAAGGGAACGTGCCCTTCCTTCCCTTTAACTCTCCAGGCAGTGGAGGGGATTGGCTCTGAGCACCCTCTGACATGCTGATGTCACGACTTCTTGGCCCCAGTTACACTTTCTGTAAAATGGAGAGAAGAATGGTTAGATTAAATCAGTGGTTTTCTTTTCTTTCTCTCCCTTCCTCCCTCCCTTTTTCCCTTCCTTCCTTCCTTCCTTTTTTTTTTTTTAAAGACAGGGTCTCACTTTGTCACCCAGGTTAGAATGTCTTGGCCTCAGCTTAGCTCACAGCAACCTCAAACTCCTGGGTTCAAGTGATCCTCCTGCCTCAGCCTCCTAAGAAGCTGGGGCAATAGGCACTGGCCAAAAAGCCTGGCTAATTTTTCTATTTTTTAGTACAGACAGAATCTGGCTCTTGTGCAGGCTGAGCTTCCTGCCTTGGCCTCTCAGAATGCTAGGATCATAGGCCTGAGCCACCACACTGACCTTCCTTTTTATAAGACAGGGTCTCCCTCTATTTCCTGGACTAGAGTGTCATCACAGCCTCAAAATCTGGGGGCTCAAGTGATCCTCCTGCCTCAGTTTCCCAAGTAGCTGGGACTTCAGATGCATGTCACCTTCCCAGCTAATTTTTTAAATTTTTTATGAAAGTGTCACTTCTGGCCTCTTCTAGCTGTCAT